CCAAGGGCTATGCGATGGAACAATTAATTTCTGTTGTTTTAATCGTTCGATTTCCTCCTTAATAAAAGCTTCATGTCAGGGTGATATCCAGTAATAGTGTTGTCGAATTAGAAGAGCATTCTCTATGTCAATATGATGTGTAACTATGTTAGCTCGTTCCAATTGTGTCATGTTATGAGCTATAACTTGTAGATATTTATGAATTAGGGTCTGGATAAGTTCTTTATATTCATTATTCTTCAATTTATCTGCTCCTCCCATTACTAGTAATAATTGAGAATGGCGAACTTCTCTAGTTGACAAAACTTTAATAGTTTCTCATTGGGAATAGTTATCCTCACATGTATTGCATTTGTCATTAATTTTCTCTAGCTATTTATGGCACTAACATTATTTATCAGGACCTTGATACCAATGTTTAGTTTGGTGTGCCCATTTTTGGTTGGCTATCTACGGATTAAATTGTCATTCAAAATAGTCATATTCTTGCCAGGTAAAATCTTCCTATTCCTCAGGCATCAAATTCATAGGCATGTTGATCTGGGCTTTCTTTTTCAGTTACTACTAGGTCAAGAGTAACTTCCTCTTCATCTTCTTTTTCGTCAGAGTCTTCATCACTATCCTCATCGTCACTGTCCTCCTCTTTAGATAAGACAGGTAAGGTAGTATTTTGACAAATAATAACAGATTCTTATTTTCCATTTTTAACAGTTACTTTACAATCATGGTAGTCAATTACTGCTCGGGCCTTTCGCAACCAATTGGTTTCTAGAATCATATTATAGGCTTAAATGTCGATTACTTCCATACTGGTAGAGATAACTACATCTCCCAGGTGAACTGGCACATCCTCTATAATTCCCATACTGGATTTCTTGTTACCATGAATACCAGTTATCATTCGTTCAGATTTTTGGGTAACTTGTAATCCTAAGTGCTCTAAGAATTTTCGGGAGATAATACTGGTGGAGGATCCACTGTCAAGAATAATATCAGCAGTCCATCCTTTCACTTGTCCCTTACAAATCATGGGAGTATTACGAAAAGAACTTTCTCCCAAATTAGCTTCTTCAGC